TTGCCGAGGTCTGTGTAAACATCACAGGCTACAGTCGCGCTGTGTCCAAACTCAATAATCTATATTAGGGTGACAGTGCACTGGCTCAGTTAAAAGACAAGACTGTAAATGACTCAAGACATTTGCTGATTCACACTGATTCAAACTTACTTCTGAAAGGTAGAATTTAATGCATATATATATATATATGTGTATATACATATACACACTGTATATATATACGTATATATACTGTATATATATGTGTGTATAAAAAGGCAAGCTCAGAGTTTTTTTTCTTTTTCAAGGATTCCACACCTTTTAAAACATTTTCCTGAAATATGCCCCTGAAGACGTCACACTGCCATCTGCAAGTTTTTTCCAACTGAGACACAGTTTAGCACAGACTGGCTGGTAATGTGACGAGCATGGTTAGCTTCTCACAGTAGTATTGCAGCCAAATAAAACTTAGAAACAATAAAGGTGGGTGGCCAACTCTTCTTTTAACTTCTGTGCACTATAATCTTTCCAAACGCTGAACTGCTCTCTTCAACAGAGACACGGACTCCTTTTTCTTCATCCTTCTCATATATGTATGCATTATGCACTGGCTGCCAGATTCTTAAGACGACGCTGCTAACATTGCCAGTCTCGTCAAGTCATAAGCAAGTATGAAAGCCGACATCAGTGCAAGTTTTTTTGCCGTGCGTGTTATTTATCGACCAGGTGCATCGGCCTGGAAGCGCAGTTTGAGATGCAGCTTGTGTGCATCCAGTGAAGTGTGCCTCTCTTCTTAATGCAAATGCAATTAGCATTTAAGGGACTGCGCAGACATCAGAGGGAGAGTGCACATTTTGTGGTCGACTACACATTCTGGTACATTTATTAAGGCTCGCCCAATAGTCAGGGGTCAGCGTTGGGAGGATGAGTCTCAGATTTGAAATGAGCTGTTAAAGGAAGGTTGTGCAGAGTAGCAGGATGGAAAGCTGAGATCATTAAAGCTGAACTTGAACTTGACACCAGAGCTAATTCGAGCGAAGCCACTGTGGAGATTGTGATGTTGATCTTGATCTAAGCTGCCGTGGCTTTTATTTCCCCAAACATTTTATGTTCTGAGTGACTCCTGCCTCACATGCTCCAGTAATTTTCTAACTTAGCGTTTAATCAAGACCTCAGTAAATGGTTCGGAAAGTTAAAAACTTCCTTTAATGGGGGACCTTTATTTCAGTATCAGCACATTTTTATTTGCTTTTCTAGGCTTGATTTCTTTCTTGATTTATCACCTCTCTGCATCCTAGTTTCACTGTTGAGGTGCATCTTTGGAGATCTCGTTTACAGGCGGAAAGCACCTAAAGACAGTCCCAGTTACTGATAATTAGCTTCTGCTTTAGAAAATCAGACGCTAATTTCATGCAGATTGCCAGTTCAAATATGCACATAAATCTGGCCCTGACACTAATATTTTAGAACCGGGTATTACAGGGATAAACATACCAAACTGAAAATATATATATATTTTTATGATAAAAAAAGAAGCTTTTATGTATCACTCACACTAGAAAGAGGGTGGTGAGATATTTTAGTTTGGAAGTTGTTGTCCTGTGCTACCACCGAGGCTGTGCATATCAAAAGAAATGCTAATATGTTTTAAGTTATTGAACCCTGAGAGTGCGGAGAACAACCTACCGGCTTGATATAATGCAAAAAACCCTGCGTTTGTGCTCCCGTTAATGTGCAGTTTAACGTTTTCTCTCGCTAAAGAAACTCGCCCTTAAGCAAAAGTAGATTTAATAGCGATCGCTGCTACATGCTTTCTCAGGAAAAGGGCAACACATTTCCCAGGTGTTTCTGTACCAATACCGTTGAGAACAATATTATTGCTACAGCATGATGAAGAGGAGCACTAAAGAGGCCTGTTTTACTGATTTGTTATTGGACTCATTTTCTTCCTCCCTCTCTAAGCTCTCCACTGCAGCTGCATTGTTGCTGACCACCGATTTGACCATATTCGAAATCTGACTGTATAATACAATGTTGAGCTCTTACACTGCACTGAACACTTGACATAGGAAGGTTGTGCCTAAGGAGGTAGAGAAGGCTGGGCGCTAATCAGGAGGTCGGCGGTAGGGGTTTCGATCACTGGCCCTTCCAGTTTCTGAGCACGATGCTGAATTCCAAATAGCCCTGATGGATCCATCAGCGTGTCAATGTGATAGATGAGAGTTTCATGTGTGTGAATAGATAGATTTGAGTGGTTAGTCAGGTTAGTAGGGTGCTATATAAATGCCTGTCAGCTTTACGCATATGACAGCAGATCCTTAGTTAGAAAAATAGCAAGACAAATTTGATCAACTCTAACACGAAGCAGCATTTCCACACGCACAATTCAGATTTGTATGACAGATGCCTAAAAGAGAATCTCCACCAAAAACTGTTTGCATATTTGTGCAAATGACTTTTGTCACTTAAATTCCGTCAGTGACTGACTAAGCTTAATCTGTTACAAGAGGCCTCTGAAGGTTTAAGGAGAGATATCGAGTGGAATACCACTTTAAGGTATTTTGGGGAAACAGCCGTAGAACCAAGAGCATAATTTGTGTTGTCATGTAGAGGCACTATGTAGGTCTGCTTCATTGGCGATGAATGAAAGGATGAAATTGTGGACTGATAGATTTAAGCAATTACGCCCACATGAGCTTTATTTAATAGGAGTTGGGGCTAACATTGTTGAACCACAAAATGTGCTTATATCCGAGGAAAATCACTCTGGGTTGTGTTACAGCATGCACGCAGACATCCTCTGATTCACTGTCACTGAAGCTGCGGCTTGAGGGGCCCATTAATGCGAGATCCTGCTCGAACATTGGGTGTGTTGTCTCGATTTTTGACAGATACATCATTTTCACAAATCTAGATTCAAGTTCAGCTACGAAAACAAAATTTTTTGTTCTTTTAGACGAGGCTTATTTCCTGCTTGGAGGCAAACTTGTTCAATTTAGAAAGCATGTTTAATAATCACAAATGAAAAAGCTCCTTGCAGTCTGTTCCACTGCAGTAAATCAGCCACTGGGGGAAAAAATAAAAATTCCTTTTCATAGTCATTTTTTTAAAGAGTGAACACCAATTTTTGTTGGCAGAGAATTATCTCACTGAACATTTTACTTCATTAAGATCTTGCTTGGCCCTCATCTGGCAACATTAGCATGAATGCTAACAGTTATCCCTCATGACACATCACAGGAGTCAGCGGATGTGATTTTAAGCACAAATGCAAATCCTCCAAGACAGCGTGAGCACTCAGTGACCCAAAGTTTTCCAGCTACGTTGACCGTTTTGAAAACTGCGGTGCAGCACACTCTGACTCCCAGTTATGTTAGCTCTGATGCTAACTCCAGGGAAAGTTAGTGTAATCTTGTCCCATTGGTTGGAGCTGACACTAATTCCCTGGGACAGGAGTGTAGCGGTGTGTGATTTAGCGGCGTATGCTAAGTGCTGCTGGAGCTCCGGGCTAGTATGTGGGCACCAGGGCAGAGAGAGCAAGCTGGGAAAGTACTGCCTTCACTAACTGGCCTGATTAGACCGGGTGTGAGATGACATGGATCAGATACACATACTAACCCAGCTGGAAAGACAGATTGGGAAAAATTAAATAAAAAGAAAAAACAACATGAGTGCATTAAGAGAAAATGAACAGATACGGATGATTAGGAGAAATGGGTGGAAAGTTAAAAACCAAGAGAGGGGAAAATGAAGAGATAAAAAGACAGTAGGTTAATTTTGTGGACGTGATGTTTCCTCCTGGGGTGTTTTTCAGCTCTGCTGGACTGTGGCGGTGTAAGAAATTGGCTGAGATGCAACGTAGCATTTGCATCATGGTTTCATTAGCTCTCATTCAGCCCAAGGCATTTCACACTGCATTTCCTCTACTCATCTGCTTCTCTTAGATCTGCTCGTATTACAGAAAAAAGAAGGTAATACAGAGTAAGCTGAAACAGGGAGCAGGAGCTTGTCTCAGACTAGAATTTGGTTAGGATATAGAGCTAAAGAGCATTTTCATCTCAGCAAATGTTACTGATTGATGCAGACACTTGTGTGGGCCTTTAGCACTTTGGTTTCCCCTCATATCCCCCACCCCAGGAATGAGGTAAAATCAGATTATTTATTTCGGGGTTATTTTATCTGTTAATAGCTGGCACTTTGCTGTGAACACTGCCTGAAGGCATAGATTGTGTTCAAATAAAAGCAGACAGTGGAAGGGAGATTTGGGGCATCTCATGAAGGCCGATTAGCGGTTAGTTAGGTTTAGCCCTGGTCTCCATGCGGTTGCCCACTTTGACACTGAAAGAAGTTATTTTTGAACACTAGAGGACAAAAAGAGGATGATGGGCTTCTAGTCGCAGTCATTTCCTATCATCTAATCTTTGGTTTTGCACTTGAGATTAATCATTAAATGCATCTGAGTCACACTGTGTTTAGATAAATAAAACCCAGTCTGTGAGACTGTAATACGAGCAGATCTAAGAGAAGCAGATGAGTAGAGGAAATGCAGTGTGCACTTCTGTGCCTTTTGAAGACACGTGAATACACTGCCAAAATTTATCCGGCCTATTAGGGAGTAAAGTACTGTAGATTTGAACATGTTCTTGTTTTTGTATGACTCAAAATCATTCTTTACATTAAAATAGTAAAGATTTCACTTTTTGTGGCGGAAACTGTGTGACTTGTTGGTTATTTTAATTAAAAAGTCTTGGCTATAGATTTTATGATCTCCAGGATTATTATTTTAAGATTTAAGATGTTCATAAAATATGAATATACAGGTATTTTCTTACCTTGACAGTGCACGGTGCTGCATCTCTCATCTGCACCTGTGACATGCTGCTGATAACAGGCAGAATTTGTCAAGGTAAAGAAATATTGTTACAGGCTCAGTATATGAGCCCTGCCATCATGTCAGGAGTAAAATGTTCTGTTACTGGTTCTTATTTGTATTGATGTGTGTGTGTGTCTGTGTTTTACAGGGTATAATGGGTGTAGTGGGCTGGATGTTGCTCCTACTTTCCCATATGATGGCGCCTGTGGCATCCCAAAAGCCCCCAGGGCTCAGCGTGGGCGTGATCATGGGCCAGACGCGCGCCGTTATCGACCAGGATCTCCGACCACCTCGGCGCCCCGAAGATGCGCTCGATGTTTCCGTGGTCACGCTGAAGATGAACCAAACAGACCCAAAGTCTGTGATTACACAGGTGAGAAACGCATTGGCATTCACCAAGCATTACACACATGAATGCATCGCCTGCCACAAACTGATGCAAGAGTTTGTTTTACTTTGTCCCAAGGTGTGTGAGCTTCTTTCTCGCACCCGTCTCCATGGTATCGTGTTTGCTGATGGCACCGATCAGGAAGCCATTGCCCAGATCCTTGACTTCCTGTCCGTTCAGACTCAACTTCCAGTCCTGGGAGTCCACGGAGGCTCCTCTATGATTATGGCTGACAAGGTGAGTGACCTGACGCAATGTTGGCCATTTCGAGGACACACATGCAAGGCGGACTGCTTTGCATACATCAGTGTTTGTTTTTTGGAAGTGAAAATAAGGACCCCAATTAAGTTTTGTTTTCCAGATGTTTGTGGCACTGATATAGTCCATATAGTCCACTTGGTTTCCAATATGAAAAATGTTAAGCTCCATGCGTTACACATGTGAATTGCATGTTCTCAGCTGGTAGGTACATGAGTGGAAAAAATCATTTGCTTCCAGTGAGTTACTTTGGGGATGCCTCTTTGAGGTTGTTTGTCTTATAAATGAATGCTCTAGATGAGAAAATAATACACCGGGAGGTTTCTGAATGATGTGTGTGCTATCAACAGCTCCATCAGATTAGTGTTTGTTTAAGTTGAAAGTGGAAATGCTGCTGTCAAAGTTAAACAGAATTTTAATTGCTCTGAATTGATGGCTGCTATCACCCGAAGTAATTTTATGTTAATTAGGCTTTTAAAAGGTTACAAAGTGCACATTTAGAAGTGAGGTGTTTGTAAGGTCAGAAGACGCCTTTGCATGGAGCACGCTGCATCCTCTGGTACATCATTTTTATTTTAGCAGATGATCGAGGATTGTTTAAATATGTAATAATGCATTTTCTGCTTTGTCTAGAACTGGGCTATGCAAAGCCTAACCCCCCACCCCCAAAGAAAACCAAAAGAAAGAACAAGAAAAAGAAATCCTGAGCTGTATGTAGCTGTATCATGTGTAGTGCTCAGTGGATGCAAGAAAAAACAAAAACGACAAAACAACAAAAAAACAGATTTCTAGTTTTAAAAGAAAAAAGAGGAGATATCTTTTAAGAACGGGTATTTGTGTGT